GCATGATGAATTTCAAGTTTTGGCCCGTTTTGATCAAGTCTAATTTATAATCACATGGTTCCCTGATACCCGATAAAAATCTCAATCCAAACCAGTTTGGCAGGTGAGTCTGTGTTTACCACCATTTTCTAGGGATACAACAACGGCGATTCCTATCCCAAATCGTGTTGTTCGTTCTTGATTTCCTTAGATTTTATCATGGCCTAACAAAAATTAGAAAGCACAATGACGACAAGATGAAAGTTTTATAAAGCAAATTAATCGACCAACGGGCCGAGTAAAAGCTAGCAACGATTGTGAGATGCTCATTTCCCGAAAACTGACGGGATAGGCGATTTTTTATTCAATTTTCTGGAATTCGGTTTCTATAAAACTTACTCCACCTCATCATATTACCAGAAACAATATTGTTTCACAAGGTAACATGTACTTGATTTTGGTTCATAAGGCCGATTTTTGATCCATTGCATCATTCATGTCTCTTTCATGCTAAAATTCACTATTTTTATCACGAGTTTCCCAAAAAAAAACTATACAACAATAAGCTATACACCCAATTACATTATAAAATTTCATACCTCACCTTCCTCCGGCCAACTGGCCGGGGTCCACGCTAGTTGTACTCACCATGCGATAATGAAAGCAAGAATGATCAGCAACATGTAACCTAGCCCACGTTTTGGATTGCTTCAGTTCGTGTATCACCTGGAAAAGCAATTTTTGCTTAAGCTGACAGACAGGACACCTAGATAGAGCAGCTCATAGATGCCTGTGAAATGCATCATCAGGTATGAACCAAAATACCCAAAAAAGTTTTAGAACGAGAATGTATAAACACCAGGAGAAAGTTAAAAGAAAAAGTTGCCCAATTTAAGACAGTGGACTGAAATTCTTACATACTAGTCATACATGAGGGCCAATTTGTCATGACGTTATAAATAACAAAACTTGCCTAATCTAAGAAACGAACATGTTCTCTATCCATGTAAGAAACCAACCAGCAGCGATGATTCCATGCACGATAGTTCATCTTTGATCTCTGCATAGATAGCAAGGCAGAAAAGTTTAGAGTAGCGATCAATAGCACACACGCCCAAGAATTAGTAAACCAGAGATGTGTTCAAAACCACTTGTATGGAGTGAAAAATGAAAGTCTAACATTACATGCATACACCTAGTCATGTCTGGAAAAATCCCACAATCAAATATGAAATTAATAAACTTCAAAGATGATGCTTTCTTTTTCCCCTTTTCTTTTCCAATTTTTAAAATTTCGTAATGCAATTGTCACGTAAAAGTATGCTTCTTTAGTATTAGAAGTTGTAAACCTTCATGAATCACTACTATGCATTTCTTGAAATTAATATAAACCTCTGCTATCTTCTCCACCAGGTCAGATTCTTCCCTCAAAATCTCTTGCAAAGTTGTAAGATTTCTGGCCATATTCTTGATCACCCACCTCCTGCCAAAAAACGAAGGAAAAATGCATAGAACAAGTTAACTCATGCAGTTCAGCAGATAAACAACACTGGAAGAAAATCAACTAGTACTTCAAGAATATTACCTATGGCTCCATGCTTGCTCGCTCTTGGTTGAATACGAAAGAACAAGGGCAGATAAGCGGAGCTCGTATGTGAACATCGACGCTTGTGTCTTATTTGATAAGATTAACTTTCTGGTATTTGCATCAAGAACAGTGATTCATAAAAATAAAATAAAAACAAGAACAGAGAGGCACATTGGGCATTAACAAGCTGCAACTATAGGGTTTATAACACAGGTGCGAATCTATCATTTCCGGATCATAATGATTCAAATCAACCAGACTCATATAAATATAGAAATTTTCAAATTGGTTACCTGGAATTCCAAGCAGTCCCGAAATCATAGTTTAACAACAAAAGTGTTTTGCTGCATTTCATAACAACAATTCCTAGAGCTTCAGCAGAAGGAAGAGATAGGTCGCCGAGTTTCTTGTATTCTGCAATTGCATTCATGAATTGTTCTCTGGCAGCCTTGTACAATCGGAGAACAACCTCCGAAGAAATGCCCAGTTTGTGATCTCGAATCCAGAAGCTCCCATCTCCACCATCCAGCGCATCCGAGGCTTTCAATCGTGAGCTACCAGATTCAGAATCTTTCTCCAATGTCGCAAATTTCGAAGGGTGAATGAACCCTACTTCGTTGCTGAGCACGAAGGAGCACCAAAGCAGCCATAAAACAAAATTGAACATAAGGTTGAGCGAATAAATTGAACGAAGGGAAAACTTCATGAATCGAATTTGATGACAATGCTTACATGAGGGGATCAGAATCGAGAATGTATTCGAATTGATTCAACAATTCTGACAAATAGTACCTTCAGTGTTAATTCACGACAATCACTACGGCAACAGGGAAGATCAATGGCTCTAATGAACGTTGGGAAAGATGGGAAAATATATCAACTACTCATATTGATTAGGGCTAATACCACTGGGAAACCCGAACTATTAACTTTGTGTCATTTGTGTCCTAAAGTATTCGATATGACAATTGTGTCCTAAACTATTTCTCCGTTAGAGTTGACCGGCGTTGACCGTTAGTTTTTAACAGAAAATCCAGTAAGCGCTGATGTGGCATCTGAAGTGGAATTTATAATATTAATCTATAATTATTTTTCATATAAAAAAAAGAAAATTACAAAAATAAAAAATAAAAACATATATGATTTGTGGATTATTTTTTGCACCCTCCCAACCCTAAAATTAATCCCCTTCCATCCGCTCCATAATCGCCGCCGCCGAGCACCTCGAAGTGAACATCGACCCTCGCCGCCGCCAAGCTCATCGTGTCACCATCCTCTGTTACGGTGGGATTTGGGGTTTTCGGCAGCCGTGCAACCCTTCCACCCATTGTCGCAAATCCAGGAAAAGCATGGAGAAGGGTACTTGCCTAGGGTGGACGGCGGCAACGGTTCTTCACTTTTACTGGACAAATCCCACCAACCAGCGACCATACAAATCCGCAGCGTCCTTCCGAACTCAGCTCCCCACTTCAGCAACACCCCTTTCTCCAGCTGCATGTCCCGACAAGTAGCAATTCTCTCTGCCGCCAATCCCGTCCAGATCCCCAAACTCGAAATTAGGGATTGCAAGCGCGTCGCCTTGATCCCCTCCAAGATATTACCCATGGAGACGAAAACGAGGGTCGAGGAATAATCCATGGCATCATCAAATTGATCGGAGCCGAAACATTGTTTGCAGCAGTGGCTTCGGTGGCGGCTCTTCCATCCGCTTATCCTCAGATCCCAGCGGCGATTCTTCTGGCGGTGGCGGCGACAGATTTTGCAGTCAAGGGGAGGACGAGCAGCTAGGTCGGGCCGCGGCGGCAGGAAGGACGAGGAGCGGGATTGCAGGTTCATGATTGGGGATGGCCAGTGGATCGATCTCCCACACACAATTCCTTCTTTGTAGCGAGGTTGAACAGAATCTTTCCCCTGTCCATCGTGTTTCAAAATTTGAGCGGCTATGGTGAATCTGAGATGAGGAAGAAAAGGATTAGCTTTTATTTTTATTTAATTTTAATTTAAAAATAATAATCTGATGTGGCAGCTGACGTGGCGCAGATGTGGCTGCCACATATGTGCCATGTAACCAACAGTCAACATTTTATGGTTGACCGTTTGGTCAACCGTTATCTATAACGGTCAACGAAATTGTCAGGACGTAAATGACACAAAACTACCAAACGTTGGGACACAATTGTCATATCGAATACTTTAGGACACAAATGGCACAAAGTTAATAGTTCGGGTATTCCAGTGGTATTAGCCCTATTGATTATACACACTACACAGTACTATTTGTGCCATATATTTTCCATTTTGACTAGGGAACAAAGTTAACACTCCAATACTATAAACGCAATAAATTTCAGATTTCAAAACCCACAAATCAACCATGAGTCCAATAAAAATCGCAAGCAGTTACAGCGGTTTATAGATGTCAACAGTTGCAGTTACCATCTTCATTACACCAAATTAATTCCATTTACTACTTAGATCATGCAAGATAAATATACTTAATTTTCATAGATTTAAACTAAATACAATCAAAACTGCATATATCATCAAAGCACATAGGTGCATGGTTTTTGTTTTGGTTAAAACCTAGTCTGTTTTTTAAACTTTGGCCTATCAAATCCAAAACCCAGAATTTGCCGAAACCAAAACTTGATTAGCAAGCAACGAAAGATCACCGATTAAAGCCTAAAACACCAAGACCATTTTCCATAAATTCGGATGTACAAATTAATTTTTTTTTATAGTTAACCTTCTTAGTTAATTAAACCAATCAAGGTTAAGAGGAACCTTAACGAAGGTCAACGAAGGTCAACCATTTTCCTAATCCATATCCTATCCCAAAGGTCAAGAAAAAAGCCTGCTTCCTCCTGCAAGTCGGTATCAGCCACCTCTTCAAAGGGCCACTCAAGGCTCACCACACAACAAGCTGCAACAAAAAGAAGTAAAACCAAATTCAGGCACAAATCATGGCTGCTACCTCCTGAGAAGAGTAGGACGGCCACCTTTGTATTTTGGCTGCACAAATCAAGGCACAAATCTAGCTTCCATCAACATTTTCTCGTTTTAAACAAACTCATGTAAACATACCTTTACTAACCTGATCTACATATGCTTTGCTAACATATCTTAGTAATAATTTAGATGTGAATCACCTTTGTATTTTGCACTCATTATATATATATATATATATATATATATATATGAGCTGTATTCCCTGTTATAATCTGTAATAAGTTAGTCCTAAAGGTGAGTACGTCCCTCTAGTTCAAGCATAGTTGAATTCCCAACAAGAGAATCCATTTCCAATCCTCATGATAATAGCAAAAAATAACAGACTCAGATTCATTACAAACTCAGTTTTAGGAGGCTATCATAGAAAGACATTTTCTTTCGTTTTCTAGGGAACACCTTCAAATCCGATCATATCTTATAATAGAACCTTTCGTTCTAAAGACAAGGTCCTAAGTAGAGGCTATGTCTTTTTCTATCATCCTTAAAGTACAGTATAATAATCAGGAACACAAACTTTCTACAATACAAAACATATTAAACCAACGCATACTACAATAGTTTCTTCAAATATGAAATCATTAGCAATGGTTAAGACTTTCAGTTAGCTCTGAATAGTTTTCAAGTTTATCAAACATTGGTTTTTCATTGGTAATCCTGATAAAACTTTTGCTAGATAAACCCCATCAAGAACAACTTTTTTCTTCCATTCTAGAATCACAAGCAGAGGCTGTGATTTTCGGTTATCTAAATTTATTCAGAAATCATAAGCAGAGGTTGTGGTTTCTATCTATCTTAAAATAATTTCATAGTTAATAAACCCAGCAAAACAAACGATTTACTAAATTTGACCATAAAACACCAATTCAGCTAGCAGATTAAGAAACTAATTCCTAGCTAATTAAAACCCAGAACCTAAAGCCGTTAAAAACCAAATCTCATCTTCAATTTTACCTTTAAATCGTACAAGGTCGTGAGATGGGAGAACATCACCCAGATCTCGGTCTCCTCTAATTTGCATTCCAACCCAATCAGCAGTGTTAGATTTCAATCCCGAAGAAACTAACCAAAGAAAATCTAATCAAAACCCATTGTCAAACTCACCGAGAAAAGGAACTGAGGGAGTCCGGCGGAGTCTATCGCCGACGGCAACGGTTGCCTCGGTGGCGAAGCCCACTCTCCTCCTTCCTCTCCCTCTAAGCCGAAAACCCAGAAAACATGAAATTATCGGAATCGTAAAACATTAAAAAAAACAAATCTAAAAGGAGGCATGCATGCCGTCTTTACCTTTATCCTGAGCGAACCCATTGATTTAGGGTCGTCGTTGTTTGGTTCTCTGTCCCACGCCGAGAGAGGAGAAGCACATCGGAATGGGATAGGTTTTGTGGGGTATGTCTGCTCGAGGTTTGGAGATGGAAGAACCAAAAGGTTCTTTCCTTTCTTTAAGCTTCTGGGTCGGTTATGGCCAGCGAGACGAGAAGAGAAAGAAGGCGATCTTTTTCTTCCTTTCTTTCGTTTTTGTCGAGTTTACAGGTGAGAAGGGAGGAGAAGGGCCGAGAGAGTGTGAGGGCGGCGTTGGTCTGGAAGAGAGGACGAGAAGAGGAGGAAGAAGGAGAGGGCGGCACTTTGGTGGCTAGGGTTTTGATTTTCTCTTCTCTGGAGGAGAAGAAGAGAGAGAGAGAGAGGGGTAGAGTGGAATCGAGAGAGAGAAGGCGGCCGCTCAGTCTAGGAGCCGACAAGGGTTTCGTTTAGAGTTTATATACCATGCCATTTGAAACGACCAAATTACCCTTAGGGTTTCCTCAATATTACTCTCCCTGCCACCGTGTTTTGGTGAAAGTTCGAAACTACCCTTCCCCTTTTCTCTAAAATAAAACGAGAAACAAAAAAGTGGTTGCAGCAGGATTTCGAACCCGTGTCCTAGCGATCGGGGGTGTTGTACAACTTGCGCCTCAACCATTTGGGCTGCTGGCCCATCATGTGTAAACATAATCATCTTGTTTAATTTTATTTTTTAAAAATCCAAATACGAAATGTAGAATTGCGGATTAAGTTTATCTCGTTTATTTTCTAATACATCAAATCAAATCTCCTTTTAATAACTAAAATACTTATATTATATTTTCATAATTTCATAATATCAACTTAAATTTTATTAACAATAAATTTGGATACGAAAACCACGATCAGCGGAACGTGGTAATAATAACATTTTAAATCATCAAAGTCACTAACGAACTACGTGGACTTTGATCCCGTCTAACGGGTACGTAGGCAACCGAAAGGTTCGAGTCCAACTAATCAACTAACTTTATCTTTAAATTTTTTTACGTCAGTGGGCGTATAATTAAATTACAACTAATACGATAAAATTATTAAATGGTCCAGTGGGTCCCCAAAAATATAAAATAATTACTAAAGATACACCCAACACATATAAAACTTATCGACTTAAGTAGTACCGATTTAGGGCGTTGTGGGGTGTGATTTCACTTCCCCACACGTAACCGTACTCCCGAACCTGAATCTCTTAATCGCAGACCATATCTCGGTTCTGACCCTAAGGTTAGAACCAACAGAAGAGTGTTCGATCCACTCCAAGTAAGATCGATGGCGACTCCCAAATATGCCGACGCGACGACATCGGACCCCCCGGAGGGACGGTTGCGACATACATTATAATGACTAAGTTGTAATTTAATAAAATTTGAGATATCAAAATAGTATATTTTTTACTATTTTTAGGCAACAGTAACTATGCTTCAACTTTATATATAAT